ACACACACACACACACACACACACACACACACACACACACACACACACACACACACACACACACTCTGAATGGAGACCTGTCCTTAGAGCCTGTCCTCCCCGAACTTTCCAGCAGAGGGAGCCCCGACACGCTCAGGAGAGGAAGGAGGCCGCACAGCCGCCTGTATACGGCACCAGGCCCAGGTGTGTCCTTAAGAATCACACGCAGGTGCAGCCGAGACCTGGGCCCCACGGACCCCACGCATCCCCTCCGCCCCCATTCATCCATCATCAAGACCCTTAGCGGAAAGTCAACGTGTATTACAAGCATGATGATCCTGGAAAATCCACATGGCAGGGGAGAAGCGAGGTGCAGAGAGGGGCAGTCACGTGCCAAGGTCACCACTAGGAAGGAGCAGAGCAGGGATTTGAACCTTTATATGTCGCCTCCCAAGGCCAAGTTATTTTTGCTGGCGATGACAGTGTTGCATCGAGGCGTGGGGGGGGGGGAGGGGGGAGGGGAAGAGGGTAGCTAGTGCAATGTTTGGGGAATGATGTGCACTTGGAGATCCTCCGTCGGGCCCAGAGTGTGGGAGGAAACAGCGTCGGCAAGATCCTGTGGCTCCTGCAGGGCCCGGGACCGCATGTTTCCCACTCAGTCTGCGAGCAGTCTCAGACCGAGCATCCTGGCCGACGATCCCAGCACACGCCACTAGGGGGCGCCCCAGGATCGACAGTCCAACTTTGTCTCATCTCCACGCCCCTTATCTCAGGCCATCCCTGCTGACACCCCTTCCAGGCAGAGAGAGGCTAGGGACAGAGAGGAGGACCAGGAGGCCCAAGAGATGGGGTAAAAAAAAGGACGCAGGGCCCGCTGTGAGATACCAAGGATATCATTGTGGGACCTTGGTCAGTCATTTCACTCTGGGGGACTCAATTTCCACCTCCATTAAATGAGATAACAGCAATACCCATCTCATAATAACAGTACCTGTGAGAATTAAATGAGAATATTAAATGGGAAAGATACACAGGGAGCACTCAATCTATTTGAAATCTCATTATTGTTATATTAACTTTGGAGTCCCCCAGGGTTTGGTCCTTAAATTTCCTTTGTGTACACATACACACACACACATCGGGGTATCTCACTCAATCTTCCGGCTTTAAACACCATCTAAATGCTGAGGCTTCCCAAATGTGTATCCTAGCCCGGAACTCTCTCCACATCTATCCAACTGCCAGCTTGACGCTCTAACCCCTCGCACAAACTGACGAGCTAATCTCACCCCCCAAAAAACAACTTACTCCATTCAGCTTTCCTCATTTCAGTTGATGGCACTTCCATCTTTCCAGGTGCTTAGAACCACCAAACCTGTGATCATAACCTTCTCACAGACCCCACATTCTATCCATTGGCAAATCTACCGGCACTACCTTCCTAAAGCCATCATTCCTCTTCAAAATCCAATCATCCCTCTTCACCTGTACAGCTTCCGGCTTGGTTGGAGCCACTGTCACCTCTCACCTGGACTAATGCAGTCACCCCCACCTCATCTTCCTAGTCTCATCCTTGTCTTCCACAGTCTCTATTCAACATAGCAGCCAAAGACTGTATGACAATCTTGTCCCTCCTCTGCTCCGAACCCTCCATGGCTCCCTATGTCTCTCACAATAAGATCAGTGGTTTCTAATGTCCTGTGCGAATTTACTTATTTCCTTATTTATCGTTTGTCACCTGCTTCCCCTCTAGAATGTCAGTTATGCAAGAGCTCAAATTGCCTGGCTCACAGCAGATGCTCAATAAATATTTGATGAATTAATGTGATCAATATCACCATATCAGGGACTGCTCCACCATCTAGTTCCCCTAGCCAAAGATTTGGGAATCGCCCTCTTGCTCCTCAGCCCCCATCCCTCCTCAATCCCACCAAAACCTCAATCTCCTTCTTCCCTGGGTTTCCAGCCCCCCCATCCCCCTTCCAAGCCACCTCCCTGCCAACCCAGATCTGATTATGACCTGTCTTGTCCCTGCTCGCATACCCTCTATAGCTCCCTATTGCTCTTAGCATAAGGCCTGAGCTGTGATATGGCCCACAGTTCCTGCATGGCTGGCCCATGCCCACCCTTCCTCCATTCTGCCCCCAGCCCCCAGGTCCAGCCACCCTGGCCCCTTGTGAGTTCCTCAAGCACACCATGCTCCCCCTCACCTCAGGACATTGGCACATGCTGTTCCTTCTGCCTGGAATGCTCTTCTCTCCCTTATCACCACGCAAATTATACTTCCCACTCAGAGTCAGAGAGGGTGTCCCTGAGCTACCAACACCCACCCTTATAATCACCCAACACCAAGGACCTCTCCCTTGCAGCACTTGTCACAGGTTTAAGTAAACATTATTATGTAGAATTATTTGTTCAACATGTGTCCCCCCCAAAAGGCAGGAATCAGGCCAGCTGTGCTCCTGACCCAGTGTCAGCAGACAATTAAGTCTGTTGATAAAATAAGTGAATACACAAACTGTCCCCAAAACTCTGAGTTTATGTAAAGTCTGAGGACAAATGGCTTTCCAGCCTCCTAGCCCACAGCTTCCCTCAGCCGCCTCCCAACTGTTCAGAGCCCTTCGTTTCCTTGCTGGCCTCCGGGTGTCAGGATCTGGTCCGGCTAGAGGGTGGATGGTGGAAGATACCTGTATCCCTTGCTTTTATTCTACCAAAATCAGAACACCTAGCAAAGGGCCTTTGAGCAAGGGAGGAAGGAAGGGGCTTGCGAGGGATGGTCTGAGTTTACAAAACAACAAAAGCAAACAGCCCGGCCCTGGGATGTATCCTGATCCCTGAGAAGTTCGCCCATCTGAGCTGGGGGCCTCAGGAAGATGATGTACAGGCTCAAGGCTCTGACCTCGAACTCCAGTTCCCAAATCCTCCATTTTGAACCCAGTCGGGATCCGCGGGGGTCCGAGCTTTAATCCAGGACGCCTTAGATGTCTGGTCTTAGGTCCTGAGAAGGCTCGGTGGGTGGGGCCTGAAGACCTGAATCCGTGGAATGCTGGGGGCGGAGTCTGAGCCAGAGGGGCCTTGGCCTAGCCTGGTCCTTCAACCAAGAGGGCAGGAATGAGCACTCAGGGGACGGGACCTTGACCTCAAGGGGCGGGATCAGATCCTCAGGAGGCGGGGCCCGGTCTTGAGGGGCGTGGCCTGCACCTACAAGCTGCTCGGTGGAGGAGCCCGGCCCTCCAGGAGCGGACGGAGCCTGGACTTCGAGGCAGCTCCGCAGGGGCGCTCCTGCACTCAGGCCCGCGGAGGCAGCGGCTCCACGTTGAGCCAGATGCCGTTCTCCGTGCGCAAGATGAGCTCGGGCTTCCGCCGCACCTTGCGCGTTCTGTCCACGCTCAGGCGGAAGCGCAGCAGCGTGAGCGCCACTGCCACGCGCATCTCGGCCATAGCGAAGCTTTGTCCGATGCAGTTTCTGAAGAGAGGACGACTGTGTGAGCGGGGTACCTGGGTCTGGTTAAATGATCTCCCCTTCTGAGCCTCCTGTTCCCTTCTCTGCAAAACCAGGACAATGCATCATGGAGCCTTTGGGAGCCTATAAGCCCAGAACGCAGGGCCTGGCACACAGTAGGTGTGCTTTATACCCAGAGATGCTATCGCAGATTTGATTTGGGGGCTACCGGGTGCATTGAGGACAAGAGAGTACCAGATCGCTGGAATGGACACCTGGGTGGGATGTGATCTCTGCCCCTGACAGACACACCCCTGACTTTCCACTGGCCTTGGTGTTCCTCCTTACACTTGGCTTGGACTGGGGGAAATGGAAGAGTTACCTGGGTCCTGCAGAGAAGGGCACAAAGGCCAGCGGTGAGCGCTGCTGTGGGTTGTCCGGGTCAAAGCGATAGGGGTTGTACACCTAAACAGGAGCAGCCTGGATGAGTCTGAGGACTGGCCCACCCATATCAGTTTGGCCCCCTCCCTTAGCCTCTGGGGAGCAGCCCAGCTGGACAGGGAGAACCACACTACAATCCAGCCACACTGCCTCCTGTGCTGTTCAGGCATACCAGGCTCATTCCCACCCCAGGGCCTTTGCACTTGCTGTTAACTCTGTCTGGAACACACTTCTCCTTGCTCTTCACATTTTTCAGGCCTCAGCTCAAACATCTCTTCCTTCGCAAGACTTTTCCTCACTATGGAGCTAAAGTGCTCCTCTCCCCCCGCCCTGCTCCAGGTTTTATTTCCTTTGCACATTTATCAATACCCCACTCAAATTATTTTTGCTTTTCTTCCTTTTCATTTCACTGTGAGCTCCATGAGGGTGAAGACAGTATCTTCCTCTGTCCTTGATGCCCAGCACAGGGTCTGACACACAGTAGGTGCTCAATAAATATTTCTGGACCTGATGAATTCACAGTGAGTGGCTGAATAAATGGGGGAAGGGTGCGCAAGCCCTGCATCGAGCCCCGCTGTCTGTCTCCCTGGGAAGCAGGGGAGGGGAGGCCCCACTGCCCCAGGACTGCCGCTTCTGAGGAAGCTGAGGAAAAGGAGGAGCTCACCTTGGAGTCAGGCCACACTGTGGGGTTGTAGTGGGTCCCATAGATGCTGACCAGGCAAATGATTCCTGTAGGGAGGGGTGGGGTTAGTGGGGCAGAGGGGAGCCAGGGCCTCCTCTACAGACCTCCCCACTCCTGGCTTTCCCTGGAGCCATGGCATTCCATGAGCCATGTGCCACCCTTTCCTGTCCATCCTTCCCTGAAAAGTTCTGCTGCCTACCTCTCCCTAAGTGCTCCCCATTACCTTTCTGGCTGCCCTGTGGGCCACACAGGGATCTTGCTCACATGTATATCTCACATTGCTCCTCCTCAGCTCATGGTTCCCTTGGCTCTCTACTGCCCTGAGGAGCAAATTCAAGTGCCTCAATCTGGCAGTGAAGGCCTTTCACTATCTTCACCCTGAGGTGCTGCTCGCTCTTTCGCCTCGAACCTCCAAAGCTCACCTCCCACGTTCCCTCTTCCAAGCAGCCCTCCCTGCATTCTGCCCCAGACAGAGCCATTGCTCCTTCTTTTGGGCTTCTGCAGCTCTCGTCCGTCCTTTAGCCCATCCCTGACCCCATATGGCTGGGAATGTCTGTGCCTGCTGTATCTCCCCAGCCCGGTCCCAGGGGTGAGACCGCTCCAGATTCCCAGCATCACCGAGGACAGGACTGGGTCTCCAGGAAATATCTGGCAACTGAATGAAACCGACCGTCCCCTACTTTCACCTTTACAGGTCCCACCTTGCCACACCCACTTTTCACCCAGACTCACCCACCTCTCTGTTCCTCCCACACACACACACACACAGCTTGGTCTCCCTCATCACCCCAGAAGCAACAGCCACACTGAGAGCTGCCCCATCAACAGGGTTGGTACACCTGGAGCAGGCTTGACCAGGCCCCCATAGGCAATAGAGCAGCCAGGCAGCAGGGAGCACACAGGGCACCTTTGGGGATGATGCGCCCATCTGGGAGCTTAATGTCCTCTGTGCAGCGACGGGAGACCAGGGTTACAGGTGGGAACTGGCGTAGGCTTTCTTTGATGCACATAGTGGTGAAGGGCAGCTGGGTCAGGTCATCCCTGGGGAGCATGGAACAGGGGGATGATTCAGGACCAAGCCACAGTGACACACACACACACACACACACACACACACACACACACACTCAGGACCAA